TATTGAATATATGTGTATTTAATATTTAAAAAAATAGTATGTGAAAGACATATGATAGTGTATATATATATATATATAATATTATGAATTAATATTATATATTTTAATATAATATATATTATATTTATATATCTTAATATATATAAATTACATGTCACGTTGTTTGTCCGCAATGGACTCCTAAACTATTGAACCGATTTTAATCAAATTTTGCACACTGTGTGCAATTTCATCCAACTTGAAAGATAGGATAGTTTATAATCTCAATTTATAATCGCAATATTATTTGTTTATTAATAAAGAGTCATGATTATGTCTGTTAGTTCGATAAGATTCTAACAGATGGCGGTATAAGGTAATTCGTTATTATAATTAAATACACATGTATTTAATATTTTTCAATATTTTGTGCTACTAGGGTAGTTTCATCATTCCAAAGTTCAATGTTTCTAATTTACACCTTTCTTTTACTATATTTTACGAAAAAGATAGAAACATTAATACATATATATATTTTCTATTTAATTGGTATTAAAATTAAAACAAAATTAATTTCCAGAGGGCGCAGTAGTAAGTAATATTTTTTCTGGAAAGGGGGTAAGGTAGGAGAAAAAACTTTGGGAACCACTGCATTAGATTATTTGTTCGAGACATAAGATATAGAGGATGGATATACTTACGAGAGAGAGAGATAGAGAGAGTGTCGCATGAAACACGTAACAGCAAAAATAATTGTAAAGAAAAAAAAAATACTTTATATGAAAAGTCGTTAGTAAAATTTACGAGAGTCAGAGTAAAGGAAGAGAAAAGTAGATGCACCACACGACAGTGTAGTGTCGTTGGTTTCTTATTCTCAAAGCTCACTTTCCAGATATTCCAACTTTCCAGTTAGAGAGTGGTGGTGGTATCTTTTCGAGCTTTTATATCCAAGATATCCAGCAAGCCGTTTGAAAATACGAAGTTGACGAACTCTCTCTCTAGCTCGGGTGAAAGCCAAAAATAACCGGAGCGAAACAAACCGTGATTTTCTTCCTGCTAACCCACACCCTACGTGTAACGTTTCGTCAGGACGACGGATAAATAAACCTGTCGTCGGGAATAGACGAAGGAAATAAAAAAAAAAAAAAAAAAAAAAAGAGGAAAAGGGAAAAGGAAAGTTAACAAACAAACAAACAAACAAAAAAGAAATACAAGAAAGGGTTTACACAATTTATCCTATTAACAGTTTGTTTCTAACTTTTTTAACTATTAAACATCTAAACTTACAAATGTTTTTCATATGATTTTTCAAGATAAACTTAAATTCTTATATTTATACTAGGGGTGCCCCGCCATGCGTTGCTGTGGCTCACAATCAGTCCGATTGTGATACACACGTATTTAAGTCAACGAATTATCTTATACCGCCATCTGTTAGAATCTTATCTTATAAACAAATAATATTGCGATTATAAATTAAGATTATAAACAATCCTATCTTTCAAGTTGGATGAAATTGCACGCAGTGTACAAAATTTGATTAAAATCGGTTCAATAGTTTAGGAGTCCATTGCGGACAAACAACGTGACACGTAATTTATGTATATATATTAAGATTTGGAAATATGATTGAAATATATTATTCATCGAGTTAATTGCAATTACAATATATATATAATATTAAAAGTGCATAAAATTAATAAAAAATAAAATACAGCGTGTGTGTCACTTAAAATTTTACACCGTTTTAATATACTTAATTTTTGTAATGAAATAAATTAAATTTAGATGAATTAAATGAAATGTAGTAATTAATTTTATAAATAAGTATATTAATATATTTTTATTACATATTTAATATATTTTACTTGAAAATATTATTTATAACGAAAATAATGTATTGACATTAAAATCTCAGTATAACTGTAAATTTAACAATTATGTTTTTAATATACTTCGAATATTAAACAATTTTGATGTATTTGAATATTAACAATTTGATGTAACAACTCATTGTCAGAGTTTATCACTGGTCGAGAACGTTAAAACAAATGTGTTTTAATTTAAATGATTTCAAATATTAGTAAAATACATTAGAGTTATTAGACATACAGTATTTTAATTAATTATTAATTAATTAATTTTAAAAAAAATGTATATTATATTCTAAAAACACGGAGAATAAATTCAACTCACCATTATCTTCCAAATGTTTCGTTAGACTTTGTCGTAGTTTCTCTATGAAAGTTTTCTTTATTGATTATTGTTTACATGACTTTCTAAAGGCTACATACATATATACATATAAAGAAAATAATATTCGTAATAAATAGAATTTCCTTTTATGGAAAGTCGTATAAACACAAAATTCAATAAAATAACTTTCACACAGAGGACAACGCACATCAATCTAACAATGGATTTCGTTAAGAAAGGTACGTAGATTTTATATACCCTGTGTTTATATTACCATATACATTTCCCTCGATAAATTAACAATTATTTAAGGTATATCGAACACTGTAATAATATACTCTTCTAATATTTACAATTGTTTAAATTAAAAAACATTTGTTTTAACGTTCTCTCACCAGTTATGAAATTTAAGCTGAACATTTTCTTTCCTCTAATTAAAATATTAAATTGTAATTGTTTAAATGTTCGAAGTGTATTAATTAATTTTGATTTTTGTTTTTACAGTTATACCAACGTGGTGTTAGATTTTAATGTACAGGCATTTTCTATACATTATTTTCGTATTTGTTTAATTCACTTGTTTTATATAAAGTTTCCAAGTTAAATTCATTAAATGTATAATTAAGATGTAGTAATATATTTATTTCTAAATGTTTATTTTTATTTTAAACACACTATATATCATTTATAACAAATGAATGATAGAAATGTACGATATTAAATATTACGACTGAAATATTTGCAAAGTCATGAAAAATAAAATATAAAAGTACTAGGGGTGCCCCGCCACGCCTTGTTATGGCTCACAATCAGTCCGATACACACGTCTTCTTTAAGTCAACGAATTACCTAATATTGCGATTATAAATTGAGATATAAACTATCCTATCTTTCAAGTTAGATGAAACTGCACACAGTGTACAAAATTTGATTAAAATCGGTTCAGTAGTTTAGGAGTACATTGCGAACAAACAACGTGACACATAATTTATATATATATATTAAGATACGAAGAATATTAACGATGTTTCAACGATAATAAAAATTAATTATCTAATATGTTCACAATTTTTAACGACTTTTCGTCATGCTCGTTTGTCTTCTTTTTTATTCTCCTCCTCTTCTTCTTCTTTTCTCGTTTTTTTTTTTTCACTCTTAATATCCCTGTAAAAAGGTAAACTTCGCGTGTATCACGTTACCATGCCGAAAATGAAGTGCATACATAGACTCTAGGGAGAAACACAAGGGTGTGTCGCAGTTAATGGCCAACTCCTGTTAGAGGTGTATCATATGTAAATGAATTGCTAGAAAGCACAAACGACTCGCACGGAAGTACTAAATTAAAACGTTAACGCCGGGTAGATTCGTTGAAAGTAAAATATATCGCAAAAGAAATGCAAAAAATTATCACCGAAAAAAATACACGTGTGCACATGACGGTTCTTTAAATCTGATTGTTACCACGACAATGACATTTCATATAAATGTAACTATTTTAATCCTAACAAAAAAAGTTTTACTTTGTCATGAACAACACGATGTATTTCATTTCTTGATATTCTTTTTTACTATTTTTATTATTTCCATATCATGTACGATTTTTTTTTTTTTACCAAAATTTTGGATTTTTCAAATACCTGCTCAATTTATAACCAAAAATACAATTTTAACCCTTTGCACTCAAGAGGTGAGTCTCGCTCACCAAACCATTCAACGCTACAACTCCAGAAGTGACTCTCGTTCACCACTTTGTTTAGTGCGGAAATTCGATGCGATTTACAAGAGTACTGGTCACCGAATGATATCAGTTACATTCCTTTTTATTCAAACAAATTTACCAGAGACAGATTTAGCCAGATTTTTTGGATGCATCATCTAAAAACAATCCAAATAAAAGATGCAGGTCCAAGARCACGTTTACAGATAGTAAGYTGCATTCTTGACTATTTAAATTCTAAACTTTTGAAGTATTTTACACTGRGAGAAGAAATTTGTGTGGATGARTCCACTATCAAATTCAAAGGTCGAATTTCCTTTATTWCTTAAAACCCGAAAAAACCAACTAAATGGGGTATTAGAGTTTACACAATGGYAGACTCAAATATTGGATATATCTGTAATATTTTTCCTTATTATGGAAGTCWTACCACGGAGAAATKTATAAAATYACTAAACAACAGAAAGAACAGCCGTTTAATCACTTGCGGWATGTGAAAATCTTTATTTCGTCAATTGACTAGAGATTTTCGTCAGACACGTGTTCGAGCTTCGAYYTCAACCTCYAATTCCGAAAACRTCCGCCTAAATGGAAAGCTGCATAACATTCTAACAGGAGTTAGGAAGAATTGCAAAGTCTACTCTCAAAGAAATAACCCCGGCAAAAGATTTTAAACAACATACTATTGTGATACTTGTCCCGAAAAGCCTGGCAATTGTTATTACATGAAATATCATACAAATCAAAATTACAAAGCTAATGTTTAAGAAATTATCTTCGTAAAGATGTAAAGATACATTAAATATTAAAATATACAAATTTTATCCTTTCATTATTGTGTGAAATGATTTTAAGTTGATGGTGAGAAATTCACCAAAAGTGCAAAGGGTTATTTTTATTGAGAAAAACAATAATTTTGTGTTTGAAACGATAAAGTTTATACACTCGCTCACCCATACACTTAAACTTTAATGTAACATATAAAAATCCACAAAAGAGCTTTTGTATAAATTAAGTACTTTCAGAGATAATTGTTTATTACACTTTTGACCATATTTAAAAGCATGTAAGGATCTCTCTAAGATTATACTTAAAAATGTTTTTCTAGGTTCTCGTTCAGCAACGGGTCTAACAAAATTCGATAGCAGTCCTGAGGATGACGTAGTTTTTGTTTCCAGTAAGGAAAGCGAATCTTCAGGCTTATGGGTGAATTATCTTACAGCTTGCTTTGAGCAAATCAGTCGACAACAGGGTCGGCCACCTTTTAAGTAAGTATCAGTAATTAACAGAATACACTGTACACACTGTATATATATAGAATACATACGAGAATAGGTTACAAAGTTTTGATCATATTATTTTCTAATAATCTAAAAGATTACATTGAAATATAAAAATAAATTTGATCAACAACCAAAATTATTTCTATGTTAGACCCAAAACTTTTCACCCCCATCAACCCACGTATTTGTATAAACCAATAAAAACTTTCTGAACAATCCAATAGATTGATTTGGTTTTGTTTTTTTTTTTTTAAATAAGACAAAAACTAAGATATCTGGCTGAATTACAATAAAAATGATTAATTAATATTTTAGAGTGCGTCATGTTGCGGTTGAAGAGTCACTTGCTCCAGGAACAGAAGAAAGGATTAAGAGTGCTCGTTTGCAGATTGTCGTAGTTTGTCCAATCCTTTTAGAACGTGTTACGTGTCGACCAGAACATGCAGCTAATCTCTCGAGACATTTAATCATCGAAAGAGTCCTAGCAATGATGCTGGGTGTGCAAGATGGCGTCGTGACAGACACTCATAAGTCAGCCCTGGTATCTTATAATCAATGGCGGAAGTTCTTCGTTAAGGATCAGGATGAAACTTTCGTTGGCGAGTTTCTAGGTGCTGCTATTAGCATTTTAGGCACTGCCCCACCTTCTACGCTTAGAAATGATAAGACTGTTTTTTCCGTCCATCCGAAGAAAGTCAAAATTGTAAGTTTATCTTTAACAATAAAATCTAATTAATTTGAAACCACGTGAATATGATCAACAATTTTGTTTGTTTTTTCTTTTTAGGGTCAAAATCGAATCATAGCTCTGTTAAATGATCCATTACATCCGGATGATAACGTATCAGTTATCGTTGATCGTTGTGGAGAGGGTATCGATATTCCTCACGTAAAAAGACGAAATCCCTATACTCTCCAATTTTCCATTCCTGAGAGATGCCTTGAAGTATCTATGCTGGTAGGCGTTAGAATATCTAGGAATGGTTGCCCACTTGGTGTTAGGCAGGTAAAATGTGAGAGTAGACTGAGAGAATTGGATCAAATTCTCAGAGCTCATGACAATCCTCTTGAGTTTATGTGTCAGGTGAGTTTATTTTGAATCATTCAAATTATTCCATTAATTTTTAATGAATTGTCTTTTTTACATTTTGATAATTATGTTCTTATATTTTAAAAAAAGAAAGACTTCTAAGAAAAGAATTCGTCTTATCTTACTTAAAAATAAAAAAAATAAAATGGTTTCCTTTTTATTCTGCAATAAAGTGGAACCCTAAATACCAAATGATACAAACTTTGTCCAATGAACAATTCGTGTCTGTAAAAACTTCCGGTCGAAGAATTCTCAGAAATTTCAATAAGGCAATTGAAGTCCTTATCACAAATCTCGTTCCATTTTCCAGACTTTCGGTTTCCATCCCGGAGATCGCGAGCAATTGGACAATTGGATGGTGCACGCATTTCAGAGGAACGTCCCACCCCACTTTAACCTTTTATCTACTCCAAACGATATTCTACCTACACCAAAAAATCATACAAGTAAATATAATCAAATAATCATTATCATTTATCCTCGTTTACTTTCATCAAAAAAAAAAAAATATATATATATATATCTAATTTGTTTCAATTATTGTTATTTTGTGCTGATGGAATAGAACGATTAGTCGGTGAGAAATATCTCTTATATAGATATATCCTATTGATTTACATTTTTTTGTCTTATAATAAAAATAATAAATTAAAAACAATAATATTTGAAAGAATAAACGAATTAAAACAATTTGTTTCTAACAAAATATGTAGGTCCTGAAGAGAATCCAACACTTTTGCACTTTGCCGCACGTTTTGGATTAGAAAGATTGGCCTGGCAATTATTGGAGTGTCCTGGAGGAGATTTAGCTTGCGATTTGAGAAACGTTTCCGAATTGACACCTGCCGATCTTGCGGAGCAAGCTGGCCATACAAGATTGGCACATCAACTACGTGGCTACATGGTACAAAAACACCACCTTTAAACATCGTCATGGTTTTTCGATACTCGGTACTACCGCGATACATCTTTTACTTTCAATGATTCGAGACTTGGCTAATAAAAAAAAAAAAAGCATTCGCTTCTAACTCGAAAAAGCTTTAACGCGGCACATGGTTACTTTTTTTCTGTATTCTATTGGTATTATAAATTATTGTAGTTTAAAAAAAAAAAAAAACTAACCAAAAACCTGCATTTGTATTGCATGTTTCGGGCTGTGCCTTGAATCCTCGACTACGGAAACACAGCAAATGAACGAGTTCACCAACATGTATAGCTACCTGAAAGTAATAAGCGAAAACACGTCGAGTCAGGCCACAGGTAAATAATTGCTTACCTGGTATAAATAATGTTTTTTTATTTCTTTTTTTTTTTTTTTTGAAATAAAACTATATTAATAATTAACCCTTTATAGACAATCAATCGTCAAATGACAAAAGTAACGAAAAAACAAACGAAACAAACAACGAAAAAACGAACGAAACTGAAGGTAACGATGTTAAAGAAAATAAATGTGAAAATAAGAACAACAATGAGAAGAACAACGATAGGATTAACGATCAAGAAGATTATTGTCGTCCTCGACCTCTCAGTGAAGCTTACTCGGTACCACCAGCTGCAAGACCAATCACTAGTTTGATTTTACCCACACAATTGATGACACCATCTAACATTAACTCGAACAATCCCCTAGAAGCGAATTATTCCATTGTTCCAGCACCCACACCAGTAATTATCTCACCTACGACTCCAACATTCATCCCAAATGGTCTCGACCTACCACTTCAAGGTTATATGAAGATGCACCCTGCTGGTAATGATACCTAAATACTATAATACCAAATTATTCAACTTGTACTGACAATTAATATATCTATCAATATTATTTTACTTTAAATATGTGCCACTAATTATAAAAGTGGATTAAGTTAACAAAATTGAAGAAAATTTATTTGATATAGTAAAAAATAATGTTAATTAAAAATAAAATCAATTTTCAAAATTATTGACACAAATATAAATCATAAATTTATTAAAGAAAATTAATTATATTATTACGAACATAATGTTTATTTTGTTATTATTGCAAAAATCGAATATTATTTTGTATATTTCAGGACCTAAAACTCCTACATTAAATGGAACCTATCAGGTACCTTCTCGAACGGCCACACCAACGCAAAATCGATTAGATGGCCAAAGTTCTTATCCAGGAGGGCGTGAAGATAGCCAGTGTTCAGTTTCCTGTGGAAGAACTTCTTCGAATTCCAGTACGAGATCAAAAGAACACTCGAGACCTCAGGATGAGCTTCTCGAGATTATTAACGACTTCAAGAACAACGTCTTCACAATATCAGAAGTCGAGAGACTTGTTGAGAATTGGAGAAACCGAAATGACGTGCAACAAAGTTTCAAGGACAAGCAGAGGCAGCTGACTGCAATGAGGGAAGAATACGAGAGGATACAGAAAAAGTTGAAAGAGGAGATGAAAGCACCCACGCCTTTCGACAGAATAAGAAAGTTCTTTTCAAAAGGGAAGAAAGGTTAATATCTTTTTATTTTCTTTTTTTTTTTATTATTATTTTTTCTAAGATTCATCTTTTCTTCTCTCTTTCTATTTTTATTTCAAACGTATACTTACGTCTCGTTTTTTGTAGATCCCAAGGATTCCACTAATGGCACTGACGACTCCTCCCCAACAACAAAACCAGAAACCGTGAACGGAACCTTAGCAGATCGTCGACCTGTCAGCAGCCTTAGCCTTGGCAGTGTTTCCAGTAAGAGTTTATCTCCTTACTTATAGCTCAACATTACTTTATCCTTTTGGTCTGAAAAAAAAAAATTCATGAGAAACGATAAATAATATCTTGTTAGCCAGAAAAAAGAACAAAAAAAAAAAACAATCATACAGTATATCATAAAAAAAACAATGTAAATCTAAGTAACATTTAAATAAAATCTTTGTGTGTCGAATGGTTGTTTAATTATACATAAATTTAGGTTCATCGTCATCTGGACGAATGAGTACTGTCAGTGGTTGCAGTGGTACAAGCCTAGGTGATAGTGGAACCCATTCTGATCCCGAAGACAAAAGAGTAAGTATCAATTACAATTTTTCTTATATAATTATCAATATATGCGTTATAATTTAATCAGCTAAAAAAAAAAATCTAATTCTTTATCGTAGATTCAAAACAGAGGAGATAAAGCTGGCGTAATGTCTTACGAAATACCACCAACGCCAAAACCACTTGGTGATACGTATTCACCAGCTTTGCGGTATTCTCCATCACCTCGTTCTTCGACCGCAACAGACCTTGACCTTAGGCCATCACAGCCACCATCAAGAGCCCCAGACAACGAGTATTACATTGCCTTTCCACCGTCGGGATTACCCGTACACTGTACGTAGTATAACACAATTAACAGAGGATTCATAACTTCGTCTTAACTAATTTACTAACATCAAAATTTCAATCCTATTAGCACCTATTTATTCAACGCTTGGAGATTTCTAACTATGAAAAGCTTAAAGCTTCCTTTCATAAATTTGAGAACTATACATTAAATATTACAATCTATAAATTCCAACGTACTAATTTAATCCATTTTAAATTGAATAACTAATTATTTATATATAATTTATGCACAGCTTTTAAATCAGATGGATTACTGAGAGAACCCATGACACCAGGCTCACCCAATGAACATCCTAAATATCTCGAACTTAATCAAAACATTACCGGAAAGAAATTAGATGGAGAAAACACGAAACAATCCAATACACATATTGATCCATCTTCGATAAATATGACTTCGTCCGTTACACCTGTACCTCCTCCTGGAATGTGTATTCCTTCGAATTATGTCAATACGATGCCGGTATGTGTCCAAACCACAAGGTCTCATGACGCACTTCTGGATAGTCTTGGCCGATCTATAGAAACAAATTCCTCGAACTCAATCGAAGTCGAAGCTATTATTGAACCTGTACCATCGTCTAATGACGATAACGTATCCGTCGAACAAAATAAACTTCATTCTGGTTCAGAAAGTAACGAGGAATATGTACAAACGGACGTTAATAACGAAGACAACGGTAAAATTCATCACGAATATATGAATTTAGGAATGAATTCTCAAGACATCGTAAGAATCGTTGGCTCCATTCCAAAGAAGTGGCCAGCTCCGCCTGTGCCACCACGAAGTAAGGATCTTTAACATGTTTTTTTTGTTCCCACTTACTCAGACAAAGAATTATTATTAGAAACTATCCCTTTTTACGGGTTCGAATCAATTCTCTACTAACACTTTCACACATTACTACTAGATAATACTACCAATTAGGTCGTATATTTTTACCATCTTTCTCTGAAATCATCAACAGTACACGGTTTTTGTCTTTTACTTTTTTGGTTGGGGTCATTCACTTATCCGTGTTACTGATCGTACTCACGTTGCTTGATTTTAGTGATCTAAATAGAACTAGGAATCCCAACGTGAATTGAATTAGTTTGAACAAATGCTTTATTTTGTCATAATAACATTACAATTTACAAAATAGGATTTTATCATTAAAAAATGTAATTCAACGTGGGCTAGGTAGTTTATTTAATATTACTCTTTGATAATATTTTTTTTTGTCCATGTTATTGACCGTACTCACGTTGTTTGATTTTAGTGATCTAAAAAGAACTAGGAATCCCAACGTGGATTGAATTAGTTTGAACAAATGCTTTATTTTGCTATATTAAAATTACAATTTACAATATAGAATTTTATCATTAAAAAATGTAATTCAACGTGGACTAGGTAGTTTATTTAATATTACTCTTTGATAATATTTTTTTTCCATGTTTTTGATCGTACTCACGTTGCTTGATTTTAGTGATCTAAAAAGAACTAGGAATCCCAACGTGGATTGAATTAGTTTGAACAAATGCTTTATTTTGTCATAATAAAATTACAATTTACAATATAGAATTTTATCATTAAAAAATGTAATTCAATCTGGGCAAAGTAGTTAATTAACCATGCTTACCACACTTGGTCCAAAGGACCCAGACCTTTTTTGCAACTTGAGTCATTTTTCTCAATTGTTCAACTTTGGTAATTTTTTTAAACATATTTAAATTTAATTTAAAGCTATAAAATCTATATAGTCTTTTTAAGTAAGTATTAAAGAAGTTTCAAAAAAAATGTTGAAGTAAGTCTATGCAATAATTTCTTTTTTATAACGATTTTTCTCGGGTGTGGTAAGCGTGTTACTCCACGAAGGGTAGTAAGCAAAGATTAAATATTAATCTTTGGTAATATTTGTTTTTCTAAATATCATTCTTATAACTTAACTTCCTTTGCTATCAACATTTTGTCATAATAAAATTACAATTTACAATATAGGATTTTATCATTAAAAAATGTAATTCAATTTGGGCTAAGTAGTTTATTTATTATTACTCTTTTTAGTAATATTTTTTATCTAAATATCATTCTAATAACTCAACTTCCTTTGCTATCAACATTTTGTCATAATAAAATGACAATTTACAATATAGGATTTTATCATTAAAAAATGTAATTCAACGTGGGCTAGGTAGTTTATTTATTATTACTCTTTTTAGTAATATTTTTTAT